TGGGACAAATTGAAGAAACATATGAAGAAATAATTTTTGCCTTACAATTATGTACGGACCATGTACCAACAACTGCAGAATCTGCGTCAAGGTGGAAAATGGTTAGTTACTATACCACGAATTTTTATATGTTGATTACGAGGAACGAGATGATGGAGATGGAGGAGCAATTGGTGTCACGGTACGTGGGTGGTCTTCGTCCCCAAATACAGGATACTCTCAATATGTTTGATCCCGTGACAGTTTCTGAAGCACATCAGAGGGCAATATAGATAGAGAAGCAATAGTCCAGGAAAACTGATAGTCCTTTCATTGTAGGGAGTTCTTCTAGTAACCCACAACAGCAGGTGGCACGTCCTGGTAATCCTGCTCAATTTGGTTCTCTTAGAACAAATCCTGCCCAACAACCAACACGTCTGGGGGTTGGTATTCGTTGTTTTGGATGTGGAGTTACAGGCCACAGGCAGTCTGAGTGCCCAAAGAATCCGCGTAGGAGACTCTTTGTTGATGAGGAAAATGGCGATTATGAAGGTCGGCTTGTATTTGACGGTGAAGGCGGAGAAGAAGCAACAGAAGAGGAAGAGTTTGTGGTTGGTGATGTGGGTCAGGCACTGGTGGTGAGGAGGAGTTTCCTGACTCCTTTGGAGAATAACACTGATTGGTTGCGTAATAATATCTTTCAATCAACATGTACTGTTGGAGGGAAGGTGTGCAAATTTGTTATTGATTCTGGTAGTTGCGAGAATGTGGTGGCTGAGGAGGTCGTTAAGAAGCTAGGTTTGCAGACTGAGAAACATCCCAAACCTTATAAATTAGCCTGGCTGAAAAGAGGCAATGACGTAGACGTGTCTCAACGTGCTAGAATCAGCTTCTCCATCGGACCTACCTACAAGGATCAGGTCTTATGTGATGTAGTAGAGATGGATGCATGTCATTTACTATTAGGGAGGCCGTAGCAATTTGACAGGCAATCACTGCATGATGGATATACCAACACGTACAGCTTTCTGTTTAGGAGAAAGAAAATTGTGTTACTGCCGGATAAGGGTTCAGTACAGACAGTTGGGAACAATGCCAATTTACTGACCAGAAAGAAGTTCGAGACAGAGATGGAGGAGTCTGGGGTAGTTTATGTGCTGATTGGAAGCTAAAGGAGTTTCATGAAATTTTCCCAGAAGAGCTTCCTGATGGACTACCACCACTACGGGATATTCACCATCAGATTGACTTGGTGCCTGGAGCTGCCCTACCTAACCGAGCGCATTACAGAATGAGCCCCACTGAGCATGAAGAGTTGCGCAGGCAAGTTGAGGAGCTTCTGGCAAAAGGACACATCAGGGAGAGTCTTAGTCCTTGTGCTGTTCCTGCTCTTCTCACACCGAAGAAGGATGGCACGTGGCGCATGTGCGTGGATAGTAGGGCAATCAATAAGATTATGGTGCGCTACCGCTTCCCTATTCCCCGCCTAGATGACTTGTTGGATCAGCTTACCGGTGCTTGTGTGTTTAGCAATCTTGATTTGAAGAGTGGGTATCATCAGATTCGGATCAGACGTGGGGATGAGTGGAAGACCGCATTTAAGACGAGGGAAAGATTGTACGAGTGATTAGTCATGCCCTTCGACCTCTCAAATGCGCCCAGTACATTTATGCGGGTTATGAATCAGGCTCTTCGCCCATTCATTGGTAAATTTGTTGTGGTCTACTTTGATGATATTTTAATTTATTATGCTGACGATGATGAACATGATCGGCACCTTCGGGAAGTTCTTTCAATTCTTCGCAAGGATAAATTCTATGCCGCAGTGAAGAAGTGTTCCTTTCTCACTGATAATGTGGTGTTCCTGGGTTATGTGGTGTCGAAGGTGGGGTTAGCAGTTGATACATCTAAGGTAGAGGCGATAAGTCAGTGGCCATAGCCCAAGACTGTCACTGAGGTGCGGAGTTTTCATGGCCTTGCGTCCTTCTATCGCAGGTTCATACCGCATTTTAGTAGCATCATGGCACAAATTACAGATTGCATGAAGGATGGTAGGTTTTAGTGGACTCACGAGGTAGAGTCTTCTTTCCATTTGATTAAGCAGAAGTTGACTACTACTCAGTTTTGGTGTTGCCTGACTTTATCCAACCATTTGAACTACATTGTGATGCTTCGAAAGTGGGTATTGGTGGTATGCTGAGTCAGAACTACCGCCCTGTTGCATATTTCAGTGAGAAGCTTTCTGGCTCGAAGTCTCGGTATAGTACTTATGATGTGGAGTTCTATGCAATAGTCCAGGCCGCTCGACATTAGCGTCACTATTTGTTCCATAAGGAGTTCATTTTGTATACGGATCATGATGCCCTTATGCACCTTGGTACTCAGGATAAGGTTTCTGCTCGACATGCCTCTTGGATTGCTTATCTACAGCAGTTTACTTTTGTGATCAAGCACAAGGCAGGTGCCCTTAACAAAATTGCGGATGCGTTGAGTAGGCACCAAACGCTCCTTACAGAAATGCCAGGTTTTGACAGGTTGTGTGACTTATATGCTACTGACCCATACTTTTCCCATGTTGTCCAGAAGTTGCAAGAGGGTGTGCAGTCGGAGTTTACATGGGTTGATGGTTTTCTTTTTCATGGCAATCAGTTGTGTGTTCCAGAGGGCAGTTTGAGGTTGAAGATCATTCAAGAGTTGCATAATGTGGGCCATGTGGGTCGTGACCGAACATTGCAGCTTGTTGTTGCTTCTTACTTTTGGCCATCATTGTGCAAAGATGTTAACAAGTTTGTGGAGCGTTGTCGGTTTGTCACTTGGCTAAGGGCAAAGCGACCAATGTGGGCTTGTATATGCTCCTACCTATCCCAACCCAGCCTTGGACAGATGTGAGCATGGATTTCGTTGCGGGACTTCCCAGGACCCAGCGTGGTTTTGATTCAATCTTCATAGTGGTTGGTCGGTTTTCAAAAATGGTACATTTCATCCCCTACAAGAAGACTACAGATGTTGTCAATGTAGCCTTACTGTATTTTCGTGAAGTTTATCACCTTCATGGACTGCCTACATCTATTGTGTCCGATCGGGATACTCATTTCCTCAGCCACTTCTGGCGCAGCCTATGGCGCTCTGTGAATACACGACTGGACTTCAGCAGTGCATATCACCCTCAAATAGATGGTCAAACAGAGGTTGTTAACCATTCCTTAGGTGATTTACTACATTGTTTGGTTGGTGATCACATCAAGTCTTGGGATCAGAAGTTGTGTCAAGCAGAATTCGCTCACAATCATGCTGTTAACCGAAGTACAGGTTTTAGTCCATTCCAGGTGGTGTATGGCCTCGTTCCTCGTGGTCCTCTTGATCTGGTTCCAATTTCTACTTCTGTTAAAATACATGGTAAGGCCGAAGACTTTATTCAACAACTGCAGCAGGTTCACTCACAGGCTCATGATCAGCTGCAGGCTGCTGTCGCTGAGTATAAGCGTGCTGCGAATCTCAAACGCCGACATGTTGAGTTTGAGGTAGGTGACTTTGTTTGGGTGGTGTTAACAAAGGATTGTGTTCCTGCTCATGAATACAACAAGCTTACTGCGAAGAAGATTGGTCCATTGGAGGTCATTGAGAAGATCAATCTGAATGCTTACCGTTTAAAGTTGCCCAACCATATTCGTACCTCCGACGTGTTCAATATCAAGCATTTGGTGCCATTTCATGGTGATAATTCTGATGATGATGATGAAGCTCCTTTCCCGTCAAATTCGAGGGCGAATTTTTTCCACCCTGGGGAGAATGATGAAGTGCATAGGGGATTAGAGTTCATGGCAAAATGGGACCATCACAAGGCAAAAGTTGGCAAAAAGGGGCAAATGATTTCATGGTGACTTTGGGTTTGCTCGTTTTTAGCAAATCGCTAGTCTAATTTGATTGGAGTCGAGCCAAGGAATAAAACTCAGCGCCTTCGGCCTTGACGCAAGGGCAATTTTGGGCAAAATCCATCGTTTAGGCCCTCGTTTAATCGTTTTTGCTATTTATGGTAATTTTCATTTTTGGAATATCTCTTTCCATAAAATTCGGATTTAGATTCCGTTTGTTGGAGGATGATCCTGAAGATAAGTATTTTCCATCTTAGTAATTATCTCATATTTTCCATTTTTGGAAAAAAATATCTTTTATTTTATTTTATTTTATTTTCCGGATTCTCCTAGGTTTTTCTTCTATTTAATCAGTTGTAAGCCCTTAGAAGCAGCAGTTCTTGAATTCAATAAAATCTTCCTTGAGAATTTTCTTAATTTGTGATTGTTCATCTTCCCTATAATATTTTCGCTACGTCAATTACCTACATATAATTATGCAACAATGAAGCCTATTAAGCTGATATGCCTTGCAACTATCATGGATTACAGTCTGAGGTGCTAGAAATAGGTTTATTCAAATGATCAAATTGTAACATGACAAATAAGATGCCCTTTACTTGAATGACTATGCAAATGCTGACTGAGCTGTTTAGCAACATCAGAATCATGAAACTGAATTCTTCAGTTGCAGATAATTAAAACTATTTATACAATACTCACTATGTATGGTCCGAGTTACTAGTCAGAGATGGTGAAGTATGACTGGATGATGGTGACCAATGAAGAACGTGAAGTGTCAGGTTTCGCTTTATTTGGGAAAATGGATTTCGCTCTTCTTCCTTACGAGTGATGTGCTCTATACAAATGTGCATCTCACATGGATTAGCCGAAATTCTACAATCTCACTGGGAGGCCCCCTTGCCGGAGCTTGACAGTCGGATTTAGAGTTTTCAATTTGGGTAGTACAATATTTTTCGGGTAATTCAGCTAAATCAGTAAGTCAACCAGGGGTATACTCGTTTATTGCTAAAAATCAGGTTTCCCTTTTCCTCCATTTTCATTTCGAATGACACATCATATGTTTTTAAGAATAATTCTATTTGTACACTGATAAGTGTAAGTGTTATGCCCTAAGTCCAATCAACCTTGAATATAAATACTTTTAATATATAATTAATGCAATTTAATGACAGATTTATTATTTAATTAATAAACAATTAAATTAAAAAATAGAGTCTGTGGATTTAAATCTTCGTAATTTGTTAATCACAATGAGTTGTGATTGTGAGATACAAATTACATATGATTGAATCTTAAATTGTCTGTGGTCGTAAGTAATAACGAGATACGGATATCTTTATTACGGATAGACCATCATGTGTGGCATTTCTTACTTGTGAAGTAAGTAGCTGATCTCACAAGCTAAAGTGTGGTGACATTTAAATGAACACGTGAATGTTTTGTTATAGAACAAAACATTAGAGACCCACCGAGAGATTTCACATGGATAACTATCTGAGTGTCAGTGGTTAATCTCTAATGTTCGGTAGTGGGATTGGTCCTTTGACTTGAGATCGTCATAGTATCTTATATGAGGACAGTCATGCTTTGACGGTGTTGGATGTTGCTCTGCCAAGGGCCGCTAATACGGCATCGTTCGGGTATGTCAAAAATCGTATGAGGGTTGTGAATGACCAATAGAGGATTAGTCACTGTTAGATAGTAGGAGATTATGAACTGCGTTTCATTCAATTAAGTCAATAACGAAATTCTTGGCCAAGGTGTACTCATAAGTCGAAAAGGAGTTTTCGACTTATATTAACTTAATAGTGGAGTGAAAGATGTGGTCGATATTCGAAATTGACACATTTCCATATCTCGTAATTAATCGGATCATATTGACAAAGAGATTATAGTTTCAAGGTAAACGAACGAGTTTGATTTTGTCATATCACATGACATTCCCCGTCACGTGTATTGTCCTGACACATTGTTAGATGTTAATCTGGGACAGCGAGTGTGGATTGGTGATAAATTAAAAGAGTGTTTTAATTTATTAATTTTGATTATATCAAAATAATATTTCACGTCGTTAGACATCATGATCGGGAACCTGATGGGTCGTACACAAAAGAGAATTGGAATATTGTAATTTGTCAATTAATTAATTTAACAATCGTTAGATAAATTAATTAATTGGATTATAAGCCCGAATTAATTAATTGGATTAATTAAATATTGGACCGGACCAAACCAGACCCGTTTGGGCTTATATAAATACATGGTTAGGGTTTTCAATCCACAAAGTTTTCTCTTAATTTCTTGCTAGCACAAGAGCAGAAAACCCTAGTAGTTGCAATATATTTTCTATGTGGATCACCGTTGGAGGCTGGACAATTGGACAGCTGTGGGTGGCGAATCAATATTACTGGAACGAAAGGAATTGCAAAGGAGTTTCCGGATCTGGAAAAGGTACAATCTTTTCACAATTTCAATCTAACATAAAGAGATTCCTGATGGGAATTGAAATCTTTTTAATTTTTCGCTATGCATGTTAAGTAGATTTCCAACAGTGGTATCAGATCATACTTTGTGTTTGTTAGAAATTGCTTTGCATGTTGGAACAATTAAATATTAATTATTTTTCTTGTTTTAGCAATTAAGAAAATAATTTTTCATATTCAGAATTTGATTTTGAATATAAAATAATATTTGGATTGGAATAATTTAAAAAAAAAAAAAAAAGGGGCCTAGGCGGCTGGCAGCACTTGTTGCCGGCGTGGAATGCCACTGCTAATGTGCAACGCGGTCGCTGCTACTGATAGTAGCAGCAGCGCCGGCTGTTGGGCAGCACGCACGGCGCACTACTGTCGATAAGGTGACGCTGATCGATGATAAAAGGGATGGGAATTATAGGATTTCAACTGGGTGAAAATTTTAGGGTTCACAGTCCATTTCAATTGGAGACGGGGGCTTGCATTGTAATTCCTGAAATTTAAAGGGGCCACTTGTAATTAAAGAAAAGGGTCAATTTGCAAACTTTAAATATGGGACCGTTTTGTGTTATTTAATAAAATTAGGACCCTTGCTTGCAATTACACTTCAGTGGTCAGTATCTAAATAATGTAATGAGGGCTTTTCATAATTTGAGAAATCGGAGGGGTCTATTTGGTATTTTTAAAATGGGTCAAATAGAAAAATTTTAAAAGTATTTTGAATTTAAATTTAGAAGTGTTTTAAATTTGATTTTCAAAAATGGTTTGACCGGTATTTTCAATTTTGACACAATTAGAATTTTATTTAAAATTGACTACTTTTTATATTTTCGTTAAAATATGATTTTAACTTAAATATTAAATTTGACCCTGAATTGAATTTTATTTTATTAATTCAATTTAAATTAGAGTTGGACTCTAATTTAATAATTAATTGAAATTTGATTTTAATTAATTATTCACCTGATTATATTTTTGAAATTAGATTTGGATTCTAATATGATATTTAATTAAAATTTCACTAAATTGTGTCGCCCTAAATTTATTTAATATTAGAGTTAGACTCTAATTTGTTTTTAATTAAAATTTGATTTTAATTAAACATGTTCGCCCTAAGACCTTGGAATTAGAGTTGGACTCTAATTTTGTTATTTAATTAAAATTTGATTTTAATTAAATTCAACCACCTTAAGTTATGAAATTAGAGTTGGACTCTAATTTGATATTTAATGAAAATGTGATTTTAATTAAATAGCCGGCCCTATAATTATGGAATTAGAGTTTGATTCCAATTCAGTATTTAATTAAAATTGAATTTTAATTAAATATGGCCGCTAATTAAATAATTGATTAATGTAATTAATTAATTATTTAATTGTTCCAATCTATTTGTCTAAAAGAGTTTAGATGATCTTAATTGCTAGAAACTTGAAACGTGTTTGCATATAATATTGGATATTATATTAGCGTACATTTATGTGATGAATGTATTATTAGTGGACGATTATGGACTCGGCCATATGGATGTGTTGAATGGTTG